GGTATGCTCTGAGGCTACTCCTTCCACATAGCAAGCGAAGGTCAGAGAGGGATTCAAGTGTGGGTGCCAACCATGTTGCTTGGGCAGGTGGCATTTCAGGAAGGGGTTGATTATTTAAATCTGAGACTCAGAATAACTAACAAACAACTTCACTTAGGGGGGTCTAGGATTACTCTCCCACAGTGACTGGATGACCGACAGCCACTGTCAGGGAGTAAACTAGAAAGAGACTCTAGAAGTTTAAACTCAGGCCAGGTAGAACACAGGCCCCGTACCCTGCAGTGAGAAACCAAACCCAGCTTGAGTCATACTCAAAAGCAGCTGGGTTTGAAAGTGCCTGCCAGCGTTCAGTACTTGAGCCTGTGCCCTGCTGCCAAAAATCCAGTCACATCTGAATCCAACTGTGTTCCCTGTCCACTAACATGAGCAAGACACATCTTAGTGTGGACACTGCCACAGCCTAGGGTAAACAGCAGAGCCTGCAGAATAGAGCGTGCCCCTCACAAACCAGTGGCTGAGTAAGACAAAACAATGGTCAACATCATATTAAATAGGAAGAAGTTGAAAGCTTTCCCTCTAAAATCAAAAACAAAACAAATATGTCCACTATTACCACTACTGTTCGATGTAGTTCTGGAATTATTGGCTAGAGCAATTGGGCCTGAGAAAGAAATCAAAAGAATATAAGTAGGAAAGGAGAATTCAAATTATCATTATTTGCAGATGACATGATCTGTTAAACAGAAGACCCCAAAACTTTCACCAAAAGATTCCTAGATTTATAACCAGATGCAATAGCACAACAGGATACAAAGTCAACGCATAAATATCAATAATGTTCCTGCACATGAATAATAAACTCACCACGCAAGAAATGAGGGAAGCAGTACCTTGCATGATAGCAGCAAGAAAAATTAAATACCTAGCAATCAATCTAAGCAACTCTGAAAATCAAAGAAGACTTCAGAAAATAGAAAGATGTCCCCTGTTCCCACATAGACACAACTGTAGTCAAAATGGTCATATTAGAGAGGGAAAAAAGTGCTCTAAAGGATACAACTGCAAGTGTGTTTAGGGGTGTTAAATAGATGACCATATTAATGTTTTTGGTTGGATCATTGAACACAACTGATTGCAGTCTCACTGTTTGAATGTCCACTTTGTATGCTTTGATGCCGTGACTTGAGCAACTATCTCTAAGATGATAATGTATTAACTGGTGATTTCTTAACTGTTTTTTTTTTGTAGTTCTGTATTACTTGTACCCTTACACCGCTTTGTTTTGTTTTGTTTCTTCTCTTTTTCCTTTTAAATAAAATTTTTAAAAATGGTCATATTAAAAACTGACATATAGATTTAATGCGATTACAATCAAAACATTCCTCATACATTCCTCATAGAACTAGAGAAAACAATCCTAAAATTCATATGGAACCAGAAAAGGAACTAGAGTAGCAAAATCAATCCCCAACAACAAAGGCAAGGCAGGAGGAATCACAATTCTGGACTTTAAGTTATACTATGACACTACAGTGACAAAAAAAGAACGGTTTGGCAAAAAAATAAAAAACAGACAATTGGATCAACAGAACAGAATTGATGATGTACATACAACTCTAAGCACATTTAGCTACTTGATCTTTGACAACAGGGACAAAACACACAGTCTTTAACAAATGTACTGGGAGCCTGGCTATCCACATGTAGAAGATTCAATCTGGGCCCATAGCTCTCACCATGCATCAAGCTAAAATAAAAATGTATCAAAATCTAAGTAATAAAAGAGAAACATTTAATCTGACAGAAGATAAAATAGGTAAAATTCCCGAAGACATAGGCATAGGCAAGGACTTTTGAACAGAAACCCAGTTAGACAAGAGATAACACCAAGAAGCAAAAATGTGATCATATCAATTAAAAAACTTCTTCCCACCAAAGGAGCAGAGTAAAGAGACAACCTTCAGAATGGGGGAAAAATATAGCCAGCTACTCCTCTGACAGACTAACATCTAGAATATATAAAGAACTTAGAAAACGGACTCATGCCCCAACGAAAGACTCCCAAAACAGGCAACTGAAATGAACAGACGCTTCTTAGAAGAAGAAATACAAGGAGCCAAGGGCCAATAAATACATGAGAAAGTGTTCAACATTTCTGTGCATTAGAGAAATGCAACTGAAAACAACACTGAGATTTCATCTTACAGCAGAAAAAAATGGCAATCATCAAGAAATCAGATAACAATAAATGCTGACAAGGCTGCCAGAGATACAGGGGAAAACCCCTGCATTGTTGGTAGGAATGTATAACTACTCTGCAAATCAGTATGGAGATGCCTTAAAACAAGAAATTCCATTCAACCCAACTATTCCCCTCCTAGGTTCTTTCCAAGAGTTAAGGGCATCATATTACAGTAATACATGCATAGCCACATTTATAGCAGCACAATTCACAATTGCTATACCTTGAGAGTGGCCTACATGTCCATTAACAGGTGAATGATAAAGAAAAATCCAATATTTATATGCAATGGAGTACTACTCTGTCATAAAGAAGAATAAACTTGAATCATTAGTGGGAAAATGGATGTACCTTCAAACTATAATATTGTGAAATAAATCAGATACACAAACTTAAGCATCATGTGCTTTGTCTATGAATGAAATAAAAGAGAGCAATAGAAAAAAGATGGAAGGAGGGAAAAAGAAAGTAAGAAAAAATACAGCTGGAGTAGAATGGAGGGGAATGAAACATAAAAAGAAAAAATTTTACTTTTTTTTGTCTTTTTTTGAGACGGAGTCTCGCTATGCAGTTCAGGCTGGCCTTGAGCTCACTTTGTAGCCCAGGCTGGTCTTGAACTCGCAATGATCCTCCCACTTCAGCCTCCCTAGTGCTGGGATTACAGGCGTGAACCACCAGGTCCGGCAAGAAAAAATTTTAAAACTTACTGAACATCTCAAATGTCTATCAACAACAGAAAAAGTAAATATATTCATACAATGGACATTATGACTCAGCAATACCAAAAACCAACCAGTGACACAGTGGACAACCCGATAATTTTCACAGTTATATTAAGTACAATAAATCAGATACAGCAGGGTAGAAATGCTGCAAATTCATGCCATAATTGTAGCAAATAACAAACGCAACAAATTGCGGGCAGTGGAAATTCTTCGGGTGTTTAGATTTCCGATTTAAATTCTTGAATACTAGTTGGTCATGGTGGTGCACACCCGTAATCTCTGAGAGGCTGAGGCAAGAGGATTGCAAATTCAAGCCCAGCCTGGGCAATATAGTGAGACACTGTCTCAAAACAATAAATAAATACAAAATAAATAGACCTTACGATGTAACTTGCTGGGAAAGTCATAGGTTCCATCCTCAGTACTAAAAAAAAAGAAAATCCTTGACTTCTTCTCTGATAGAAGTAAGGATTCCTTTAATCTCTACTTTCTCAGTGATTTGCAGTCTAGCTCCCTAAAGAATAAGCTTCTTAATGTGAAGTCTGAATTTTTTGTATCTTCAGATTCCTCTCCAGAAGTCTCCACTGCCTGTTGTTTTTAGGATTATGCAAAGATTATTTATAGAATTTAATAAATAATTTCCACTATTTTTTTTCTATTGATTGTATCCCTCTCTAACCAGGATACAGTTAGTGAAAGAGTAGAATTCCGGGGCTGGGGATTTAGCTCAGCGGCATAAGCGCCTGCCTTACAAGCAGGCAGTTGTGAGTTCGATCCCTGGTACCGATAAAAACGAAAAAGACCAAAAAAAAAAAAGAAAACAAAAAAAGAGTAGAATTCCAGCCCACCCTTGCGGGACCTTGGGTCAGTAATTTTTCTGCTAGTCTTCATCATATTCACCTGTACCTGAGAGACGGTGGGTCAGATAATCTCTAAAACCTTGATTCCCAAATATAACCAATCACCCGAGGATCTTAAGGGAAATCTGTTCTCCTTCCAGCAGTTTTTTGATTCAGCACATCCAGACAGTCAAGAACCTCTTAAAACCAGCAGACATTTATCAAGAATTTATTTTCAGCCGAACAGAGTGGTACATACTTGTAATCTCAGCACTTGGGAGGCTGACGTAGGATAATTACAGCAAGTTCAAGGCCAGCCTGGGCTACAAAGTGAGTTTAAGGCCAGCCTAAACTGCATAGCGAAACTTTGTCTCAAAAAGACAAAACAATTATTTTCGTTGAGGCACTGCTACGTTTTACAAGTTTATGTTCTCAGTTTGTATCGCCACAACCACTGGGGAAGGGGAGTAATTAAATTATGCGACCAGTACAACTAATAACTTGAGAATTTAACTCAAATCCAGCAACTCCAGACCCGTCTCTCAATCACTAAGTTACATAAGATTTTTTCGGGGAGCTTCGAGTGATTTTGATGGTTAACCAGCTTTTAGGAAAGCCACTGGAGGCCACGCAACTCTAAATGGTACATTTGTTTGAAATATGGCCTATCGCCCAGTGTTTCTAGAAAGAAAATGATTTAGGAACAGCTTTCTTATACTTAACAAGAGTAGCTGGCCCAACTTTCGGGCCACGTCCCACTCTGGTCCGGGAGACCGCTGGTCTTACTGGATGACCCAACCTGAGAACTTAAAAGAGAGACTTTTTGTACACCTGGCACTTCTAGCCACGCCCCGTCGCGCAAAACCCCCAATTCCAAGCCTGTCCACTACGACTGACATGTCCTCAGAGCAATTATAATTGGCGATGGCAGGCGACCACTCCGCCTCCTCGCCGACCCCGCCTCCCTTTCATTCTAAAAGAAAGAACCTCGCCCGGATATCCAATGACAAGCGCCACCACCCAAAAAATCCCGCCTCTTTCGACGCCGACTCCGCCCCGAGGGCGCTAGGAGTGCCCGCCCCTCACCCACGAACTGAGCCAATCGATGGACTCTTTCGGCTTGAAGGACGGACAGCAGCCCAATCCGCGAAGCCTCGAGCGGCGCCGCTCCCCGCCCCTCCGCCGGCGGAGCTGCAGCCCGGCTAGTGCGGGCCTCGGGCGGCGGCGGAGGACGCGGCCTGAGGGAGCGGCAGGCCGAGCGTCCATGGCGCGCGGGCCCCGGCGGGGCGCGGCCGCGGCCTGAGGGGCCATGTCCGGGGTGGTGCGGACCCTCAGCCGCTGCCTGCTGCCGGCCGAGGCCGGGGCCCGCGAGCGCAGGGCGGGCGACGCGGAGCGCGAGGCCCGGCGTCGCAGCCGCGACATCGACGCGCTGCTGGCTCGCGAGCGGCGCGCGGTGCGGCGTCTCGTCAAGATCCTGCTGCTGGGCGCGGGCGAGAGCGGCAAGTCCACCTTCCTCAAGCAGATGCGCATCATCCACGGCCGCGAGTTCGACCAGAAGGCGCTGCTCGAGTTCCGCGACACCATCTTCGACAACATCCTCAAGGTGATGCGGGGCCCCGCCCACCCGCCGCACACCTGTGCCCCGGTGGGGCGCAGGTAGCCGGCCCCTGCCCGCTTTGTCCCTGCTGTCGCTGCGGCGTCGGCCTAATTCTCCCCGTTGTCCCCTGCTTGGCGACGCCCAGGTATTCCCAACAGGGTGTCTGGGGGGATAACTTAAGAGTCACCTAGGCCCCTCCGCCCCTGTGCACACCGTGTAGTCCTCCACGGGCCTGATGGCTTTGCCCTTTCCCGGATGCCTGGGGACATAGCTACTGGAAGCTGGCCAACTTCTGAGGACTTGGGAACTGACGGAGGGCGTCTTGGTGCGAGAGAACCGCCGCCCCCCCCCCAACCCCGGCCGGCATCCCCGTTTCCCTTGCAAATTTCGAGGGTGAGGACTCTGAACTTCCCCTGCCCACCAGCAGGCCCTTAAGAGCTGAGTAGGCTAGGGGAAACCAGTCTTAATTTCTTAGGTTTTAGTGGGAAAACTGCAAATATATACCAAAGTAAAGAAGATGAGTGGAAGAAACTGTAAGGTACCTATTTGCCAGCTTCACCAGTGATCAATTCCATGCCTCTGCCCTTCACCTATGTCCCCCATTCTTGGAGCAAATCCCAGAAGTTGTATAGCTGCTTTAGCAAATATTTTGGTGTGTTGCTAAAAGACAAGGCTTTGTTTTAAAAACATGGTCACAGTACCACCAACAACCTTAAAAAATAGGACTCCATAATGTCACTGAATATCTACTCAGTGTCCAGATTTGCTCTATTGTTGCACAACTGTTTTATGTGTTTCAACCGGATGCAGATAATATCCTTATATTGTGACGAATCTCCAGGTTCTGTTTCTTGTTCCTTTTATAGTCTTTGCAGTATTTGTGAAAGAAACACTCCAGCTGACAGAGTCTGGGGTCCTCACTATCACCTCTGAAAGTTGTGGAAAGGCCCCAAAGGAAATCTGAAGAAAACTGACATAGGAAAAGGAGAGTCTGACCTGCACCTAGATTGGGTCATTTCCTCTTTGAGTTCTTATCTCTACCCTTTCCTTGCCCCCTCTTCAGTTTTACGCAAGCCTATTTTGGGGAAGCCAATGTACAGGCAGGTCTGAGCACAATCATTTTGAAGCAGAGGTGGAGAGAAGTTTGTCATACCATAAAACCTGCCTGGAGACTAGTTTATATGGTGCCTGAGGGATTTTAAATTTAGCGAAGGGCACTAGAAACCCATTTGGGACATTTTCTTTCACTTCAGCCCCAGGGAATCGCTGGGCTCAGAGGCCTTAGGACTGAGATCCTGGGCTCCAGACTTTACATTTTTGTTTCTAAAATACTTCATTTTGATAAAAATATAGCTGTTTTGGGATTTTGATGGGAAGAAAATAATTCGATTGGTAAGACACCCCTTTCCTTTTCACCTCTTTCAGAAGCCTTGCAGTGAGAGAGGTCTCTGGCAAATACTTCATCCACTTCAAAGAGGACGCGCCCATTGCAGCTCACTAGAGATCAATTGTGTGTTTCAAAATTCCCCTCATCTTCAGGCTGAAGAAGTGTGCATGTTGCCTCTCAGGGCCTGCTGTCTAACTTCTCTGTTAAAGAGCTTGATTTTATTTTTGCTGCTGTCCTGAATCTCAGAATGAGGCAGATTTGGCTAGCTATCTCCCAGTTTAAATTCTGGTTTCTTTCAACTTGGGAGGCAGAGAAAATACGTAGCAACAGATCGCGAATCTAAATCGGTATATTAAAAAAGTGCAATCCTAACTTTTTTCCTGATGTATATAAACATTAAGTTTTCTTAGCTTCCTTATCAATAGAAACAAGACATGCTAGATCAGTATTACATTTTCCTTTCCAAATTTTAGTAAGTATTATTAAACTCATTTCTCTTGTGAATACTTTAATACTAGTTAGAAATTCATCTTTCCAATTAAAACCAATTTTTTTCCACCTGTGTTTTTATTTTGCCAGATTACTTTGAAGAGAGACTTTTTAAATAAGTTGTTTCTAAGGGTTTTAGTTGTAGGTATTTGAACGATACTGTTTAGAATAATATTTACATAGGGCTTTAGTGTTAACATTTCTTTTAAAGTAGTATGTATTGGGTCAGAGCCTTTCATATGTGGCATTTCATTTTCATAAGGCTCCAAGTGGTATCACCCCATTTATTTAATAAATGAGGAAATTGAGGATAAAGAATTTAAAACCTACTCTAAGTCAGCTGCCTAATTATCAGGTGGCAGAGCTAAGAAGCAAGCCTAGTCTTTTTATCTTTTTTTTTAAATTAAATCTTTAAATTTGAGGTAATTATAGAGACCTATGCAATTGTATGAATAACAGAGAGATCCCATGTATGCTCTACGCACCTGTACACGATGCTAAGATCTTGGAAAACTGTAGAACAGCTTATAACAAGATATTGACACTGATATAGTCAAGATACAGAACGGTTCCATCACTAGAAGTGTCCTGCATATCACCCTTTTATAGTCATTCTTCTGCCCTTCCCTGAACCTAGCGGTGATTAATCTGTTCTCTAATTCTATAGTTTAATCATTGCAAGAATATCATATAAATAGAATCATACACAATGCAGTGTCTTAGAATTGGAACTTGCATAATCCCCTGAAGAGTCACATCCAACAGGCTGCAAACATCATTAGTTTTACCTTTTTATTGCTGAGTAGTAACACCATTTAACCGTTCACCTGTTGAAGGATATCTGAGTTGTTTCCTGTTTCTACTCATTGTGAAGAAAATATTTAAATATTCACATACATTCTTTCATGTGTACATAAGTTTTCATGCATCTGGGATAAATGTTCAAGAGTGCAGTTATTGGCCCATGGTAGTTGCATGTTTAGTTGGATAAGAAATTGATAGACTGTTTCCCAAGAGGGTGCCAGTGTACATTGTCACCAGCAATGTGGAAAAGATCTAGTTTCTCTGCATGCTTGCCAGTATTTGGTGGTGTTGCTGTTTTTTGTTTGTTTTTAAATTTTAGCCATTCTGATAAGAGGGTAAAGATAATCTTCTTGCAGTTCGAATTTGCATTTCCTCATGCCTAATGATGTTGAACATATTTTCATGTGCTTATTTGCCACCCATTTACCCTCTTCTTTATATATTCTTTTTTTTTGGGTACTGGGGATCGAACTCACAACCACACACTTGCAAAGCAGGCGCTTATACTGCTGAGCTAAATCCCCAGCCCCAAAATATGGAACCCTTGACGAATTTGCTTCTCCTGTCTCTTTCCAATTTTAGTACTTGTGCTGTGGAAGCAAGCACTTTATATTTATTTATAATCTAATAAGGTTGCTTATTTTTTATTGTTGAGTTTTGGAAATTCTTTATATAGTCCATATACTAGTCCTCTGTCATATTGGTTTGCACAGATTTTCTTTCAATCGGTAATTTTTATTTCATCCTCTTAATAGTGTTATCTACAGCAAAAGATTTAATTTCAGTAAGGTCTAGTTTAATTTTTCCTGCTATGGACAATTGCTTTTAGTATTAAATCTTAAGATTCTGCTTAGCCTTAGATTCCAAAGATTTTCTATTACTTTTTTTCTAAAAATTTTATTAATTTACATTCAAGTACATAATCTACCTTGAGTTAATTTTTATATGAGGTATGCGGTTTTTAAATCAAAGTTGAGTTTTTTTGTTTGTGTTTGTCTGTGACAATTTAGTGGTTCCAATATTATTTGTTGAAAAGGCCATCCTACCATTGAATTGCTTTTGTATGTTTGTCAATCAGTTGGGCATATTCAGTCTGTTTCTGGGTTCCTTTTTGTTCTGTTGATTTGTATATCTATCCTTGTGCCAATACTACTACACTGTTGATTACTGTAGCTACGCAAAATGAGCATTAGTATCAGACAGGGTTATTTCTCCAACTATCTTTGTCAAGATTGCTTTAGTTATTCTAAGGCATTTGCCTTTTTCCATATACATTTTAGAATTTAGTTTGTTGATGCCTATATGTATTTTTTTAAAGAAACTTTTGGAAAGTTGTAGTAATTGTATTAGAGCTCTAGATCAAACTGGAGAAAAATAACATCTTTACCATGTTGAGTCAGCCTGTTGATGAACACACTGTATCTTCATTCATTTGAGTCTTTCATTTATCTGCCTTTTCCATTTTTCAGTGTCTTTTATGTTTACACCTAATTGTTTACTTTTCTTTAAAAGGATTGGAAAGGGTATTGTGTCTTTACTTTCAATTTCCACATGCCCACTTTTAGTGAAACAATGTGATTGAGTTTTGCCTCTGCTTTTACTTCCTGTGACCTTTCTGAACACAATGGTTGTAAGAGCTTTCCTGTGGATTCCTTGCAATTTTATACATAGACTAGCATGTGATCTGCAAGTAGGGACAGTTCTGTTTTCTCTTTTCCAATAAGTATGTCTCCTGTTTCTTGCCCTTTTTTTTTTTTTTTTTTTTTTTTTTGTGCTAGGGATCGAACTCACACCTTGCGCGTGCCAGGCAGGTGCTTGTGCCGCTGAGCTAAACCCCCGGCCTGTTTCTTATTCTTGCCTCAGTGCAGTGGTTGGAATTTTCAATGTAATGCTGTCTTAGTAGGGAGAGTTTTGATGTCTTTTTATTTCCTGACATTGGTGACTTGTGTCTTCTCTCTTTTTTTTTTTTTTTTTTTTTGTTGGTCAGTCTTTTAGAGGCTTAAAGTTTTACTGATTTTTTTTTTTTCTTAAAAAGAAACAGCTTTTTATACTATGGATTTTATTTTTTCCCATCAATGGTTTTCCTGCATTTATTTCTCTTCTTTACTATTTTTATCCTATTTACTTTGGATTTATTTTGTTCGTTTTTTTCTTAGTTGCTTAGGTAGAGACGTAGATTACTAAGATTTTGCCTCTTTTTTAAAATAAACATTTTAAGGACTATTAATTTCCCTCTCTGCATTGCTTTGGCTGTGTCCTTGTATTTTGATATGTCGTACTTTTATTTATATTCAGTTTCATGTGCATTTTATTTCTTTTGAAATGT